CTCTGACTTACAGTTAGCAATTATGCCAGAACATTTACATTAAAAAGTTGGAAAGTGAAAACTTTTACTTTATTGATGCAGGAACAATGAGAGAGATGGGGTCAGAAGGTCATACTACTATACATGCTCTCTTCTAAAATTTTAACACTATGTACAGCTCTTTAAGAAAAGCATGTCATATTCTGAGTTTATCCAAAGATCAGAATTGTAAATGACTTGCACCCTCATACAAAATTCATATATTAGAAAATAACAACTTAATATAGAGACCACACAGAATATAAAAGTTAATGGAAAACACATTTGAAAGGTTACTAAACTTGATGTAATCAACTGTGTGTGCACGTCTGATCCTAGTGTTGTGAATCCAATCCAAATACTTGATTCCCTTGTGATACCTGTCCCTGCTCTGACACTTAGTGTGACTAGTTTGTCTGCTGGTTTAGGTCAGTTATGCCAGAAAAAGAACTTGAAGCCAGAATTCAAGTTCAAGTAAGAGAAACAGGACATGGAAAAGAAGAAACTAGGCATGGGTGCCATCTAAGGGAGAGACCGTCAATGCTGTGGTCTGGTCCCACTAGATCTGATTCCACTTTCAGTTCACGTTTGCCTACAAGTTGTCCCAACCAAAGGTAAGGGAGTCAGGCCTTCATATCCCTGTACTTCCTCACCAACCTGTCAGTCATTGGAAAAGGGCTGCCCAGGGTAGTAGGGTGGAAGAGTCAATTCCAAACCGTCTCTTGCCCTCTGACCATTCAGGCAAAGCATCAGTCACCCAAAGCTAAATCTTATGAAGAGTAACTTTAAGAGCTATTAGAAGCAAAAACACATAAAAGCTATAGTCAGTCTCTGGGTAATGAACATCAGACTTACAGACAACACCTAAAAAAAATAAACAACAAAAAATCCCCGACAGAACAAAACCCACTGTCATCAAGTTGATTTTGAATCATGACAACTCTCTTTGGGTTTCCAAGGCTGTAAATCTTTATGGAAGTAGATTACCTCATCCTCATATTCCTCCCATGGAGCCACTTGAGGCTTTCAACCCCCCACCTTCTGGTTAGCAGCCGGATGTCTTACCCACTACACACCAGAGCTCTTTAGACAACTCATACTCATCTTTTAATGTTATGTAATTTTGCCTTCACTTCTAAACAACTGAACTAACCCCAACTAGCAACAAGTCTTAATCACAATCACCTTTACTTACTACTAGAACAGCTTTTAAATTATTGAAATGAATCTGAGCCTTTTGTTTCACTAAAGTGAAGCTAAGTAAGAACCATATGTATCTGTTCCAAGTCACCTGCAAATTATACTTAAAGACTTAAAGAGAGAGTTAGGAATGGATTTCATTTGTAACACTGCTTGTATTTGAGATTTCTTTTTTTATTTTTTTAAATCACGTTATTTATTTTCTTTTTTTCATTGAGAAGGAAATATACATAACTTATTCTAACTCAACAATTACTACATGTGCAATTAACTGACATTGAGCACCTTCTTGAAATTGTGCAACCATTTTTGTTATTTTTCAAAATCATTTCACCCCCTTAACACAAAATCAATGTCACCTAAGCAAAAAATCCACCTTCTCCCTACCCCCATCACTGGTAACCACTAATAATCTTTGGCTTCTCTATATTTGCTTATTTCATGTAAGTGAGATCACATAGTTTTTTGTCTCTTTGCAACTGACTTATTTTGCTCAGCATTATGTTTTCTAGGTTCCTCCATGTAGCATGCATTAAGAATTCATTTATCTTTTTGGCTGAGTCATATTCCATTATGTGTATTTACCACATTTTATTTATTCATTCATCACTTGATAGACATTTTGGTTTGATTGTTTGGTTGATGGTTTCAACTTTTGGCAAAATGAGAAGTGCCACAGTGACCACTGCTATACAGATATCTGTTTATTTTCCAGCCTTTACTTCTGGGTACATATGTGAAATAGGGATTACTGGGCCATATAGCAGTAATCTATGTTCAACTTTCTGAGGTGATGCCAAATTGTTTTCCACAGAGGCTGTACCATTTTACATTCCCACTAACAATGGAGAAGGGTTCCAGTTTCTCCAAAACTTCCTCAAACTTACTGTTTTCCATTTTTCTGATCATTGTCAGTCTAATACCAGTGAAGTAGTACCTTATTTTGGCTTTGATTTGTATCTCTTTAATGGTTATTGAGGTTCTTGCATAGCAGAATTTTTTTGCACTAGACTACTAACTTAAGGAAGATGGGGCAATCTACTTCCATAGTGATACTGCCTTGGAAACCCAAGGAGGGGTCGCTATGAGTCGGGTCCAACTCAACGGCACATAACAAACAACAACAGCTAACTTAAATATTGATGGCTCAAACTCACCCACCTACAGAGGAAGGCTTGGCCACCTGTTTCCATAATGATTATAGCCATAAATATCTTGTGGAAGAGTTCTACTCTGGAACACATGTAATCAAAATGAGTTGTAATTAATTTGACAGAAACAGGTCTGGCTTTTATTTTATTTTATTTAACTATAAGTTTAAGTTTATTATCTAAAGGGAAGAACCTTGTCCCCAACCCCCACCCCACCCCCCAATCCTCTAACACACTACAAAGAGATAAGAAAGAGTAAGCAGGTAGTTCTTTGTAGATCTGCTTGGGCTATGGTTTGCCCAATCCACGCAATAATGAATAATGACAGTCCAAGTCTACTGGCAGAGGACAAAGTTTTTGAAAGCTCTGAGTCTTCTCCTTGAAGACACCAGTGTTTCCTTCCAATGTGAGCATTAGAACCTAGGTTGGGTTCCCTTGTTGAGTGGCACAAGCCACTAGAGGAAAGCATTGAAAACAGTGGCGCAAGTAGCCCAGGAGAGAGGCAGAGAGGCGTTGACGAGGTTGGTGCTGCAGCTGACTGTCCAGGGCCTGGGGACTATCCAACAGGGCCAGGTCTGCGTGTCTCTCAGTAGGAGCAAACTGAGTCTTGGAGTCCCCAGTTGTCTCATTTGTCTTAGCTTCTCCTGTACGGTCTTTGACTTGGGCCAGGATCGTTTCGGCACTGTTTTTTCTGGTTTGGGTCACTTTCTTGACTGAAGAGGACACATTTTCCTCATCCATTGTTTTGGGGTTACCACAGCACAGGAAGCATTTCATCTTATTTCTCAATAAAGGTTTTTGAAGACTGTGGGTCTCAGAAGTATGGGCTGCTCTCATCCGCCTCGTGGGATCTCATCATGCAAAGACTGGCTGTGCAAAGCCTGCTTCCTCTGAGAAAGTAGGTGCAACAAACACTGGCCCTGTGAAGTGTGGGGTACCACATGCTTGGGAATTGCAGGAATACTTGCTGGCTTTTTGGTGAGATTCAGCTTGACCTGATTGTCTTGCAGGGGATTCTTCTCAGATTCTTCTCCACAAGGGACTCCTGAAAGTACCTCTGGAAAGACTATCTCCTTGGGACTCTCCTGACATGAGACAGCAAGAATGTAGCTAAGGTTCCTTCGCCAGGAACCTGCTGGCCTCTGGTCTTCAGCAGGGTGTCTGTTTTCTCTGGTTGGGGGGAGCCCAACCCTTGTGTCCCCTTCTCCACCGTCCCCTGCTGGCTTGGGTTTCCCTGGGTCCTCTTTCTTCTCTCCCAGGGTGGGCACTTGGGCTGAGTCCTTGCTTTGGCCAGGGCCTTGGGATTCAGGGCGCCAGGCCTCCTCCAGACTGGGGCTGTTCATGCTGGCTTCCACCTGATCACAAAGCACCTGGGCATCTGCCTTGTCCACACTGGGTTGGGAGATCTGGGAGACACAGTGGCCAGAAGCATGGGGCACTTCTCTGGACTTAGCTAGTTTCCATCTCAGGAGCACTGCCTTTAGCTCAGTGATCAGAAGTCCTTTAAGGTGGGCCCATTCTGCTTCTGGGCTATGTGCAGTGTCTGCTGGGGTGGTGAGTTCCTGGTTGGTTAGACTCCCAAATGCCTCTTGTGTGGATATGTTCCCAGGGACAGCCACAGTTTGGTCCCTGGACCTCCTTGCCTGTATGGGAATTCCCAACTGCATCTCTAGGACCTTTTTCCTCAGATGGAAATTCAATTTTGTCATGGTAGGTCTCTTGAGTACAGGAGGAAGATCAGCATCTGTCTGGCCTCCAAGAGGCACCGTCTCCATTGTTTCCTCCTGCACGTCAGTCAGGAGCCCATGGACACTGTCTGCACAAGTCTTGTCCTCTTGAAAGGCTGGCC